GAAAAAACGGCCAAAACCGCGAAAAAATCGAGAAAAAGGAGAAAATAAGTCAAAATGCGAAAATGTTTATTGTTGGGTTACGGTAGCACTCGTTTGCCGGCTGTGTTTTCGAAAATTCTCCTTGAAATACGGTGGCCTAACTTGTGTGAAAATTCGGCTACAACTCCATTTTTTTTGCACAAGAATAATAACATGTCGAAAAACGTGTTAGAATGACAATTTTCGACCAATCTGACAAAAAGCAGATTTTTTATCATTCAAACACAATTTTCAACATGATTTTGGACCGGAATCTGGCTCAAATTATATAGGTGTGATGGGCCTTGTCGAGATCTATCATTTCGTACAAAAACTGTCTGAATATCTCGTTCTAGGGACAAGTAATCAGCCGGCCCGCTTGCAACTATGGAAACTTTCAAGTTTGATGGAATTTTATTTTTTTCAATTTATCGATTTTTCAGCCAAAAAAAGGACGAGGTTTTCTGAAAAAACGAAAACTTCCCAGAAAATCGACGAAAAATCAAAAAAAAATAACCAAAAATTTCAAAATATTGGCAGAACAGTGCCTTGAAAATTTCGATCTAAAAATTTTCAGAATTTTTGAAACAGAAAAAGAAATTGTGAAATTTTCAGAAAAACCGGTATTTCAATATTTTAGGCAGAATTTCAGAGAAAACTCAAAATTTTAAAATTAAAAAAATAATAATTTTCCGGACACTCAAAGCATCAAACAAATGTATCACTTAATCCATTTTTTCACAAAAAATCCAAAAAAAAATCAGAAAAAAACAATAAAAAATTGTCTAAAAGAATCCATCATCATCGTCATCATTCTCCACATCTCCAACGCCTTCAATATTCTGAAAAACTCCAAAAGAATCTCCATTCGAAGACATTTCATTGGCTCGAAACAGTGATTGATCGGCCGCTTCGATCGACTTTTCGTTAATATCGATTGATTTCTCAGCTGTTCTCTCTTTTCTTTTCCAAATTTCATCAAGCATTCTGTGGAAATTCGCCGCTTTTCCCATTCTTTTTTCGCCAATCGTCGTTGTCGTTTTTGATTAAATCGACAGTCAGAGCATAGCGATGAGGAGAGATGGTGATAGCTGAAAAGATAGGAAATGGTTCAGCTGGCCTAACTTTTCCAGTGGCTAGAAAGTTAGTCCTCGGCTGGAAAATCCGAAAATTTTGTATTTTTGGGAATTTTTTCGAAAAAATTCCAGCCAATTACTGCATAATTTTACAAAATTGACTAAAACAAGAATATTCTAAAAATTTTCGAAAATTTGAAAAAAAATGTGTTTTGATAATTGCATTTTTCGACATTAAACACTCAATTTTCCATGTTAAAACTATAAAACTCAGGTAAACGATTCGGAATTAGATATGAGTTCATTCGGAATTAGATCTGGACTAGATCTAATACCGAAGTTGCCACGAGAAATGCGCCATCAATGACTCAGCTGCCGCGGATGAATTTTTTTGTTTTTTTGTTGTCCTAAATGTTTTTCGTCAGGAAAATGGGTATTTCTCTCAACTTTTGCCTTTTTTTCGCTCAATTATTTAAACTATATTTTCTGGAACATATTTTAATGTGTTGTGCACGTTTCTGCAAAATTTTAGAATTTTTTAGGGACAGCTGACTATTCAAAGTTCAATTTATATATACGACTTCTATAGAAGACAGTAATTCTATGAATTGACAAAAATACGACGATTTTGAAGATTTTAAATTCGGAGAAAACTCTGCAGGTAAGATAATTTTTGCCCTTTTCAGGTTAAAGGATTACGTAAAAACGATGCAAGGGATCACCGAAAAAACAAGAAAAAAAGAGATTTTAAATTGCTCTGATAGTGAGCTCAATTTACACAAGTCGAGAAGGTATTACTTCCGGAAACTGCGTCTCGCCGTGAGCAGGTTAGTTTTCGAGTCTGGTGGACAAAGAAACATACGTGAAATTGCAGTCTCTCCACCAAATGTGTCATGACCCGATGATTGAAACGATTCAAAAATTTGGGATTTGTTGTATAAAACAACTGCTCTGATGAATTTATTTGGATTTGCAAAGATTTGAGTACGGAAATTATATTGAAATGGCTCAAGTAAGTTTATTATCGACATCACAAAGCCAAAAACTTCTTTTTTTCAGTTAAATCAACATTCATTTCATAAAGAATATCCATCTTATCTACAACCGGAAACTATGACAAGAGAATTTTCAAAATCGAAAATATGGACGAGCGGAAGAATTCGAATTGAGATTTTTTTTTTCATAAATTTTGTCACTTTTTCTTATTTCATAGGTCCTGTTATTCTCGCTGATCTCATCGTTTTCTTTTTTGCTGATCCCATTCATTCATTTGTATCACACCCCTCATTTTCGTTCCGATTTCCTATTTCTACATTTTAATCAATGTTTTTCTTTTTCTCATACTTGTTCTGTTTTCTTTTTTAATAAATTTTATTATAAATAAAGTGAATGGCGTTGAAAAGAAAACAAAATTTTAAAAGCACTCGCTACGATGCTCCGAAATCCCGCTGGTCTGTTCGGAATTAGATCTAATTCGTTCGTAGTTCATTCGGTGTTCGTTCGGAATTAGATCAGCTAAATTCTGTATTAGATCATGCCACTTCTATTTACGAACGAACCCAGATCTAATTCCGAATCAAGTCAGATCTAATTCAGAATCGTTTACCTGAGAAATTTGAGTTCCCCATCGAAAAAATACTCTGGAAATCATGAAAAACGAAAAATTCCAAGGTGACCGAGTTTTTGGAACTTCTAGGCCACCAGATGCAAAAGTTAGGCCATGAGCGTTTAAGTACGTTTTCTAGGCTAGTTTTTCGTGAGAAGTTTGAATTTCAGCTTTGTTTTCGACAAAAACTCATGAGAATACTAAGAAAATCGATGTTTAAAATACTTTAAACTTTCAAAAAAAAAAAAATGTTTAGAAAATTCAAAATTTCAAATTTAGGCACGCAATTTTGTGTTGTTATAACTATTGAAATCGGGTTCCCCATTAAAAAATACCCTAGAAATCATGAAAAAAACCATGACTTTCCTGATGGCCGATTTTTTGGAACTTCTAGGCCACCAGATGCCAAAGTTAGGCCATGAGCGTTTAAATAAGTTTTCTAGGCTAATTTTTCATGAGAAGTTCGAATTTCAGGATTATTTTCAACAAAAACTCATGAGAATACTAAGAAAATCGAATTTTAAAATACTTTAAATTTTCAAAAAACAAATTTTTAGAAAATTCACTTTTTGATGTTGTTTTTGATGTTATTGAAACCAAGTTTCCCATCGAAAAATATCCTGGAAACCACGAAAAACGAAAAATTTCTTGGTGGCCGAACTTTTCAAGTTTTCTAGGCCACCACATGGAAAGTTAGGCCACAAGCTAGTTTTCCACATTTTTTCTCAAAATTTTCCAAAAAACTCACGGTTCCGGAAAATCTAGATCATTCTCCCATTCGTCTTCTGTCCAAATGTAGTCGTCGTTTTTTCCGAATTCTCGAATCTCCAAATTCGCGTACATTTCACCGTCCTCTTCCAGTTTCTCCATCACCTGACGCCTCCAATCCGCTCGTTTTTCTTCGCGTATCTCGTCCAGATTTCGCATCTGAGAAATTGAAAAAATTGAATTTTGAGTTTTCAAAAATTCAAAAATTTTCTGTTTCAGAGAGAATATCTTAAAGCGAATTTGGGAAAGTTTTGATAACTCGACTCGTCAAAACCATTTTAATTTCAGAAATCATTTTTTAAGGATCATTTTTAAGAATTCCAAAGTTTTTGATTAGTTTTTTAGGAGTTACTAAAGCTAATCTTCCTGGAAGAGTATTCATGTAATAAATGAAATATTTCGAAGAAAAACCCTATTTTGAAAAGAAAATTTTCCAAAATAAAATTTGTCTTTCAAATTAAAGTAAAACCTGTAATAGAAGGGCCCCTCTAATTGAAGTGCCCCTTTGCTAAATTGCAGGAAATTTTTTGCGTTTCTAGTCAATGTGTCCAAAGATGGAAGTCTTATGAAGTCTTTATTGAAAAAAAACCAACTGGAGAAATTGATTTTCTGCTGTTTTTTTTTGTTTTCATTAAAATATGGGTGTTTTTATTTCGTTAAAAAAGAATTTTCAAAGATTTTAAGTAGAAAAAACAAAAATTTTCCCGAAAAACGTTGTTCGTCCAATAGAAATTCCTTGCTCAGAAACCTCACGAAAAATACAAGTGCCCCCTCTAATTGAAGTGCCCCCCCCCTGGGACCCCGCGAAAAATAGATACAGGTTTTACGGTATGCACTTTTCTCCTAAATTCTCACTTCTTGCTTCTCGTTTTCTACACAGAGTTACATCTATTTAAATGGGGACTCCGACCAAAAAATTATATTTGCTTTTTTTGTTTCAAAATGTTCTCGAAGTAAGGTATTTTTATAAAACTAATACAAAAAAATTCAGAAAAAAGTCGAAGTCCCTGAAAAACGCAGACAAAATTGAAGCGCCGCTCAGTTCTCGTCAACGAGGGACAAGAAAAATCTTGAGTTCGGCCACGCGGCCACACATTTTTCAATCCAATTTTCGCCGTTTTCAGCCGTTTTTTTCTGTAATTTCTGTATGAATGAAGTTGTTTTATCAACTATTATATAAAGACGGCAAAAAAGTGTGTTCAAGTCAACATTGATTACACGAGCGATGGAGAAGCGACGCTGTCCGTCAGAAGAAGTAAACATTTCGTTTCCTGCAATTTTACTGTCAAAATTGTCGCCAATAATTTCAATTCATTTCACTCTTTCAGTTTCATCAGAAGTAACAATGATGAGCTTTCGAACAGGCTTTTGGTCACATCAATACTGACAGCGTCGATTCTCCATCGCTCATGTAATCAATGTTGACTTGAACACACTTTTTTTGCCGTCTTTATATAATAGTCGATGAAACAGTTTCATTCTTAAAATTACAGAAAAAAACGGCTGAAAACGGCGAAAGTTGGATTGAAAAATGTGTGGCCGCGTGGCCGAACTCAAGATTTTTCTAGTCCCTCGTTGACGAGAACTGAGCGGCGCTTCAATTTTGTCTGCGTTTTTCAGGGACTTTGACTTTTTTTCTGAATTTTTTCGTAGTAGTATTATAAAAATACCATACTTCGAGAACATTTTGAAACAAAAAAAGCAAATATAATTTTTTTGATCGGAGTCCCCATTTAAAACAGCGAATGAGCAGTTTCCCATCTAAAAATTGATGTTTCACAAAAATTGCAAAAAATGTTGATAAGTTTTCAAAATGTTCCGATCGCTGCATGCCCCCCGGAATCATCAAATAAATGAGGATTCTCCATGAAGTTTTTTTTTAATTACAAAAATTCCCAAAATACAATTACTGTTTCGAATATTATGCATTTTTTTCTAGAAGTCATTCAATTTACTGGCGCTGGATCCATTTTTAACAGTTGCAAATGTAATTTTCTCGAAGAAAAATTAAAAATTTTGGAATAATTCAGTTAAAGGTGGTGTACGGTGAAATTTTTTATTGCATCAAAATGTGCAGAAATGCATGTAGGTTCCCCATAAAAATAAAGAAAAAATTCAAAAAAAATTTCCTTCATCGAGAAAAACGCATCGAAAAATACGCTGAAAGCCCTTAGGGACGAGGTTTTTTCTAGGCCGCCCGGTGAGTGAAAGCGCGCGAATTCAAACTTTTAACATTTTTTCGCTCGTTTTCACTGTTTTTTTCAAATTTTCCGATGTATCTGGAAGAAAAATTGACAAAAACCTAGAAAACTCTTGAAAAAACCGAAAAAAAAGTGAAAACGAGCGAAAAAATTTTAAAAGTTTGAATTCGCGCGCTTTCACTCACCGGGCGGCCTAGAAAAAACCTCGTCCCTAAGGGCTTTCAGCGTATTTTTCGATGCGTTTTTCTCGATGAAGGAAATTTTTTTGAATTTTTTCTTTATTTTTATGTCAATCTACATGCATTTCTGCACATTTTGATGCAATAAAAAATTTCACTGTACACCACCTTTAAATCTAAAAGTTTAAATTTTTTTCTCAATTTTTGGAAAAATGAAATTTTTCAGTCAACTTATTTTTTTGGTTGACCAAACCAAAGCATTTTTTTACATGTTTTCACTCAAATTCTCAATTCTTACTAATTATTTCTCTAGGCAAAGGTTCTCTGAAATTCGAAAACTTCAGAAAATTCGAAAATTCAGAAAATTCGAAAATTCCAGAAATTCAGAATTTCGGAAATTCGAAAGTTTTAATAATTCAGGATTTCAGAAATTCTGAGTTTTTGAAACTCAGAAATGCAATTCGCCCCACCTGAATGCCCTGAATCATCTTCTGATACTGTAGCTCTGCGGCCTCATTCCGTCGCGTTGCGCCTTTAAATTCATCGATTCCCTTCCGATTCACCGCATGAATCATGGATGTATAATGCAGACTTCTCAGCTCTTCCGCCTCTTTTTTCATCAATTCTCTCCGTTGGATTTCTTGTTTTTCCCATTCTTTTTGGCCTCCAAATTCCTGATTTTCCAGGTTTTGCCGCGAATCTCTATCTGCCACGTGGCATTTCACACACTTCCGTTCCAACGTCTTCTGGAGTTCCGTCTCTTTTAGAATCCGATTTTTCACTCGTGCCGTCATCGATTTTTCTGGTAGAATCGGCGGATTTTTTCGCCGAAATTCCAGCATTTTCAGCCGTTTTGCCAGCGTTCGATCGACATATTCATCCTGTTCAGTGTCCATTTTTTCCAAAATTTTTATCGATTTTTTGGGGATTTTCGGACTGAATTTCGGTCTATCTGAAATTTCTGAAATTCCGGAATCTTCTGGAATTCGGTCCCAGATTTTGCGAATTTCCTCTTGAACCTCTCGCCGTGTCCGTTTTTTTCGTTCTTCCGAAAATACGGGTTTTCGTTTGGGCGTCGGTGCTCCGCGTATATTCTCATCGCCATCGTCGCCGGCTCCAAGGTCCAGAGGGCGGCGGAGGCCTGAAATTTCGAAAATAATCCTTGGGTTACAGTATGCCTGAAATTCGGCATTTCTGAATTACAGCAATCCCAGGGTTACTGTAAGCCAAAATTCGAAATTTTAAGACTACAGTAATCGTCAAACTAAACTTTTTGACAGTACAGTAATCTTATGGTCCTAACGTTACTGTAATCTAGGGTTACTGTAAACTAAATTACAAGACTTTCAAAACTACAGTAATCCTAGGTGTTAATGTAAGCTGAATTTCGACATTTTAAAATTACAATAATTCCACTAGTTACTGTAGGCCAAGTTTCGAAATTTCAAAATTACAATAATTCCACTAGTTACTGTAGGCCAAGTTTCGAAATTTCAAAATTACAGTAATCCTTAAACTAGATTTTTTTGTAATTACTGTAGTCGTAGAATTACTGTAACTTGGCTGACAGTAATTAGGGTTTTCTAGGGATACTGTAATTCTGAAATTCGCTAATATGAAAATCAGCGTAATCCTAGGGGTTACTGTAACAATAAGTCAAGTTTCAATATTTCAAAATTACAGTAATACTGGAATTGCAATTTTTTGAAATTACAGTAATCCAAGTTTCAACAAAATTTAAAATTACAGTAATCTCGAAATTCGTTATATTTTGGAGTTACAGTAATCCCGAATATCGTTATATTTTGAAAATTACCGTAATCCTAGGGTTACTGTAAGTCAATTATTGGCATTTTGATAACTACAGTAATCCTGAAACTTTGAATTTTAAAAGTACAGTAATCCCAAGGTTACTGTAAGTCAAGTTTCAATATTTCAAAATTACAGTACTGTCAGGGTTACTGTAAGCCAGTTTTCGATATTTCAAAATTACAGTAGTCCTGAAATTGGATATATTTTGAAGTTACAGTAATCCAAGTTTCAACAATTTGAAAACTACTGTAATCTTGAAATTTCGAAAGTGCAGAAATCTAGTTTTTTAGACAGTGTTGGTTCTTCAGGTCATGACCCAATTTTTTGGACTTTCTAGGTCATGACCTAAATTTCGGTATTTTAGGTCATGACCTAGATTTTGAGATTTTCTAGGTCATGACCTAATTCAAAGAGATTACTGTACCTGTCCTTATCCGCCCAATCATTTTGGGTGTCGACGTGGCAGATGGCTCAAACGACAAATTCAACTGAAACGTGTCGTCTTCTTCTTCTTTGAACGGATGTCTGAATGCCGATAGATGATGATGTCCTGGTGCGATGTGTGGCCGTCGTGGAGTCTTTATTTTCGAAGATTCGGGCGCAGGAATCTTAGGATACACTTTTTTGACGTCAGATGATGAGGGTAGAGAAGGCGTCGAAGAAGACGTGGGGATCGCTGATTTTATAGATGACGTGGCAGATGACGTCGTGGGGACTTCAGAAGTCGTCTTTTTTTGACACGCCATTGTGGATTTCAACATCTCCAAGTCCTTTTTTTGTCGTTCGATAACCATATCCTTGGCGGCCAGGTGCTTCTGATGCTCTTCCTCTTTTTTCTGGTTCTGGAAAGTTTATATTTGAGATATGGACTGTTAAAACCTCTATTAGAAGAACCCCTCTATTAAAGGGGCCCCTCTAATAGAAGAAAAACCCACATCCTTCTGAAATTCGGCTTGCAATTTCAGCACTTTCCGTTTCTCATTTTCCAGCTGATCCCTTAGCATGATGACGTCTCCACTGGGCGTGGCTGGTCGTTGAGAATCGAATGGAGGCGTTGTTCGGGGTTGGAAGATGTTGCCGGTTCGGAAGGATGATGGAGTTTGGTGGGGCATACTGTAATAACGACAGGCTACAGTAACCCAAAAATATTCCTACCGTAATCCTCATACTCAAAAACGTCATTTTCCAGGCCGGTTTCGCATGGTGGCCTAGAAGACTCAACTTGCAAAAGTTAGGCCACCATGCTAAAATGG